TCAAAGCAATTGGTCGGTGGATAGGGTTTCTGGAAAGGTTGAATAGAATTTATGATGTAGATTTCGGGTGTGCTTTCAGGATGGGTTGAAAACCATTGGGTGGAGTATATGCATGTGAGATGCGGGGTTAGCTTATGCTTGCTATCCCAACCCTCCCCAAAAACCTAGACAAGAGCCTGGGCTTGAGAAAGCCAAAAGATGATTCAGAAGCTGAAAATAAGGGCCGGGAACCAGCGATCGATGGCCGTTCAAATCCAGATGCAAGGATTACACCGTGACAACATAGTCTTCTAGGAAACCCCCCTGAGCGTACACAAGCTGAGAAACCTGAAGACCTCAGGTGCTGTGACTGCAAGGCCAGCATGAGCAAGGAGATCAAGTAGTTGTCGAGCATTCTGTGGCGGGGGCTGTTCAGATCTACGCGGTGGCGGTGCACTCTGAGAGCTGCGACATATGGAACTTGAGTGCTTTGATTATTTGTTCGTTTTTGACCATGGATGGGAGTCCTCCCATGAAAGAATGCAACAATGAGAATCAAGAAGAACGTTTTGGCCTGTCCAACATCCCTGAAGCCAACAGTTTTGCCATGGGCAACCAGCTCAGCTCCAAATTCCCATGGCAACACAAGGCCCTCCTAGCGGATCACTTGCTCCTCACGCTCGTGCCCCAGGCCATTCCAGAGGGCAAAGCAGGCCCTGACAGGATGTGACCAAGCTCGAGTTCCGTCTGCTTTTTGAGATTTTCTCTTTCAAGGCGCCTTTTGTTCGTCTTTCCAACGGCTTCCGTTGGAGCACAGACGGAGACGTTGCGAAGGTCGCAATAGGAAAACTCCTAAGCAAACAGGAAAAAGTGCTTCTCATGAACCGTCAGATTCATGTGTGACACATGTCCAAGGGGCAGAAGATGAACGCGCGTCCGTCAGTCTTCCGAGAGCTGCAGAGATGCCCGTCACGGCAGCTGCCCTGCGAACAGGCAAATTTACCTTGCTGGAAAATCTGCAGGAAGAATACCACACTACCAAACCTGCCTCCCTTTTGCCAGGCGTTCGGCATAGTCGAAGGTTACATGCTGCTTGGCGGTGCCTGAGACCGCATCATGATGCTGTGCGACTCCCATCGCCTGCAAGGTCTGCACATAAGTGCCTCACAACGTCGACTTTAGAACAAGAACCAGTAACCACACGCCTCCGCCAACTTTTCCAGGCCTTGCTGTTCTGAAGATGTTGGATTGCCTGCAATCGCGCTGATCTGCTTCGCCACCTGCCAAACAGCCAGCCATGAGCAGCAGCATGCAAGATGGGTTCAAGCTCCTGCAAACATTGAAACCAGTGCACTGACCCCTGGCTGTGACACACGCCACGTGGCCTGGAAGAGCGCACTTGTATCCCTAATGTATCTCTTGAGAGCTGGTCGAGATGTGAAATATCCAGTCCAGAACTGATGAGGGCCATCCGCGTATGGGAAGAAGTCATCTTCCTGGAGGCCATCAAGTCTTTTCCAAAACCCCAGAGCCTCAAAGCAATCGTGGTCCTTGAGGGGCCATGTGACCTGCTCGCTCTTCTTGGCATCGACATATCTCCCCGGAGTCGAATAGAACACATGGACACGGCCATCCGCATTCACGTGCTGAATAAGCTTGTCCAAGTTGTAGAACCAAGTAAACGCGTCCTGCAAAGTTGCCAATGTGAGAACATGGGGAATGGGGAGTTTCTTGCTGTGACTGCATGCGAGGGTCCTCATACTGAAAATCAGAGCCCATGGTCATCATGATGTGGCGCCCCCTGGTTTGGCTAGCCTCAACCATGGCAACCTTGACGAAGTCATCCACACGCGACTTCACATTGTAATCCTGATAAACAAGCTGCTGTTCTCTGGAAGTAGCGTGATGACCTCCTGTGGCCAACTCTTTGGTCCTCTAACTGCGGGTCATCTTGGATTGTTTCGTCAGAGCTAAAGGCATCCCAGTCGAAGCCACTGGGCGGCCCATAATTGCCACCGTATTCGCCTATAACATCATGTGTGACGCGTGCACTTCAAAACAACATGACTCAGAAAGTAATCTCCCACCTGTAAGCCCGCTGAAGACTTGGGCGTCAGATCCAAGAGATGGAGATGCACGCCAAATGAACTCGGCCTCCTTCTTGTCTTTACGCAAGGCGAGGTCCTTGAGAAGTTCAACTGAAGCGGACACACATGACCTCCTGCCGATCGAAGAAGAGACAGGCACAGACAGGCACAACGGCCTGGTAATCAATACGACCGAAGAAGAGCCCCTGGAAGCCAACTTCCGCAGAAAGAAGCGCAGCTTGTGTGGCAGAGTGCCCGAAAGGATCCAGCTGCCAACCAGTCCTTGGCAGCGCAGAGTCAAAAGGCAGTGAACAGCGTCGTCACCAACAAGTTGCCAAAGCCTTCCACAACTGTGGCACAGCTTTGCAGCTGGGCGGCCGGGGAGCGATACCAAATTCTTCCATGAGGAACTTGTGCCCCAACGTTGTCTGATCAATCATGTCCTGCAGTCAGCTACGGTAAGACGCCTTTCCAGAAATCCCCATGCTGTGTGTAGCCAAGTGGCTAAGTAGTGTGGTGCGGCTTCATCATGCATGCACCAGCCGCCATTGCTGAATTCCAACCTTGTCATAGCAAGCCACGAAAGACCCACGACTTTCAAGGGAGCCTAGCAGACTGATACTGATGCAGCCGAACCACTGTCCAGAGCTGACCAAGCGCTTCACCAGCGCTTTGGTCGAGTCATCTTGCTGCCTCCACCAGCGGACAAAGAAGGCCTCGCAGCAAGCACTTGACAATGCCAGCAGGCCAAAAGGCGTCAAGCTTCAGGAGTGCTAATTTCAAAACGAACCAGCCGGTGGCACCAGCTCCACGTAGGTGAATGTGCGGTTTGGGTTCTGCTCCAAACATCGAACCACCGTGTCGAGGATCATGTGCACGTAAGCATGCCTGACGTGGTCCCATCCATCGTGCAATTAATCTGGCCCTAGCCATTTTTCAAAACTCAGCTATAGTCAAACCAAGGATCTGGATCGAGTTGTTCTGACCGGTATAATACTCATCGACAGTCTTAAGCCATCCAACATCATCATGTGTGTGAGCAACAATATGTACCTGCCCACAGTGTGTTCTCCAAGGCCAAGCAAAACTGTTTCCGTCTTCCACGGGTCTTTCTTCTGTGGGCCTCTATGGAGGGTTCGGCCTGCACCGCCAGCAGGTAGGCACAAAGTGCAAGGGCCCGGGTCATCCTGAGTGGGTGAGAGTGAGATTGAGACCTTTGGCAAGCAAACTTGTCGAACCTGTGCACGCTCCGGCTGGCCATGACCACTAAGAACAACCGGCTTGAGCCTATGGCTGCACCACCTCAAAGCGAATACGACCTGCGAAAGATTCTTGCATGTGAGTCTAGAAGACTTTCACGAGGCAGGTAGCCTCAGCATGAAAAGCCAGAAATCGATCCATGAAGCGCAAATTGAAGCCTCCACACGTCCATGCATCGTACAGGAGCGAGCGCAACTGCTGCTGAGAGCTTAGCTGTCAACACCATCCATAGTCTGGCCCCCAACCACTCGCTGTCGGGCCTGAAGCACCGAAGTCTTACTCAATCCCTCAAATACAAGACAATGCAAAAAATGCATAAACATCAGCCAGAGTGCTAAGGTTTAAAGTCATCAAGCAGAGGCTCCCAATTTGATCTGCTCAGCTTGTCAGTCCATCCAGCAGGCGAGCTTTGTTACCCCGCTGGAATACTCCGTCGGTGTTTACAGGCATAAATTCTGAACCGCAGTGCCCGCAGGAGAAGGGAAAACCCGGCTAGGCCAGGCCTTGTGCCACAGGAATGCACAGGCAACAGTTCTATGTCCATGCGACATTTGGGAAGAGCAGCTCCACTGCTCATCACCTACACAGTTACTCCACTCCCTGATTTGGAAGGTGAAGCCATTTCCCCAATGGCATAAGCCTTGGGGGGTGAGTGTTGCTTGACATCCATTCCAACCTCCTCCGTGTACTCGTCAATACGCAGGAACCCTGTCTTCTTCAGCGCAAAGAAGGCTAGACCTGACAGGCTCCCGGCCCAAGCAATGACCATGAGCACCAGGATGCACTGCGCTCCGATTGCGGTGCCGCCGATTCCTGTCTGGCATGTGGAATCTGTCTCGCTGACTGGCATGCACCCGAAGCCACTCCAGCCATGGTAATGGTCAAAGCCTTTGCCCCAATCAAAGAGGCCAGCTGCCAGGACACCCCAAATGCCGCAGAAGCCATGCACCGGGCTGGCATCTACGGGGTCGTCGATCTTCAGCTTTTGCAGCAGCATGGACGAAGCCTGGTACACAAGGCCACCAATCAGGCCAATACCAAAAGCACTGCCACACTCCACGCTGCCACAGCCGGCGGTGATGGACACCAAGCCCGCCAAGATGCCATTGCAAAGGCCGCCGACGTCATACTTCTTTGTGATGGCATAACGCAAGAAGAAGACCGTGATGCCACCGGTGGCAGCGGCCAGCGTGGTGTTCATTGCCACCTGCGCGGCCAGGGCACCCGTCGCGCCATCGTGCATGCCCAGCGTGGACCCCGGATTGAAGCCGTACCAACCAAACCACAACGCGAAGGTGCCAAGCACGACCTGGGCTTCCACACGCAGAGTCTTCTCAGAAAACCTACTTTTCAGGCAACGTCCTTGGATTAGGAACAAAACTGCCGAGGTACCAAAGGCAGATTGTGGCACTCAAATTCATCCGGGTTCTCGAAGCGGCCCTTACGTGGGCCCAGCACAACCGTGCCGGCCAGGGCGCTCACGCCGCCGGTCAGGTGCACCACACCGCTGCCCGCAAAGTCCATGTAACCTTCGCAATTTTGCAAGAAATATTTTATCTTCCATACGAATTGGATGCATCCTTGTTTGCTCGGCTGCATTCAAATGCGCTGAGGAAATTTCAACTGATTGCACGGACAGGGCTTACTACAGATCACAGACATGCCGGTGTAGACCTCAAAACATACGGTTCCAAATACACATGAAGGACTGAAAAAGCATTTGATAATCCAGAATGCTGACAACCACGAAGATCGTCACCGCACGAACATGCAGTGAGAATTTTCGCGCGAAAACATGAGGGCGCACCTTCTCCAAGCGAAGCACTTAGACAGGAAACCCCACCGCGTTCATACGCTCTTCGGTGATGTCCTCTTCAGGCCAAGGCCTTCACGGGAACCACGTCCATGATCCCCTCTGTTTTCCCGAGAGCACCGCGACGGGTTCCTCGTCAAAAACGGTAGCCTGCACACACTGCAGCACATACACCGCTCACGTACACCACGCCAGTCTACACAGCATCTACACCGCTGACGTACACCACGCCACAGTCTGTACCTACACCGCCACTAACGCCGCACCACGGCCCATACATCAAAGCTGGGGATGCTGCAAGGAGAACCACTCTCCCTTGCGGATCTCGCTTGCCTTCTTATGGATACAGCTGATCTCCTTCTGGGTGGACTTCAAGCGGCGAAAGAACCAGGTTCGAAACTTGGAAGGTTTTTTGGACCAACTCTTCAGGGTCTCGTAGTTAAAGTGGTCGGCAATCTTCTCACCCTTCTTGCAAGTCTTGTACGAGGTTCTCGACTGGGAGGCGTCTCCACATGCAGCAAATACCCCAGAAAAGGGGGGGGAACAGTTCGAGAACAGTTCCAGAATATAGTTCGTGAGCAGTTTGAGAACAGTTCCAGAGTGGGGCACGGAGAGGAAGGGGAGGGCAACCAGTTCGAGTTCACGTTCGCAGGTTCATTTTTCTTTAAGGGAGCGGGGGGTTCGAGTTCAGTTCGAATTCGCGTTCGCATCGCAAAAAAAAGGCACAGCTCAAGAGCAGATGAGGAAGGCCTGGACGGCGAAATACGAAAGAAAGGGTGCAAGAGGGGGGGGGAGTTCGAGTTCCAATTCAGTTCGAGTTCATCTTGAAATCCAAAGATTCTGTTGCTTGCTAGAGTCTGCTAGAGGGAGGGGGAGAGGTTCGAGTTCAGTTCAAGTTTACTCCGTTTTCACAGTTCCATGTGAACGCGAAGACCCTCTCGCTTCTTCGGGCACATGGCAGCGCTGGCGCGTGGAGCGTCCTGCGAAGTCTGTCTGAAATGGACGACCCACTCGCTGTTTTGGGGGGCGTTAGCCAAAAGCTCCTGTAATTGTTCACGCATCCCCCCTTCAGAGACTTGCGAAGGCTTCTGCCGGACATTAGTGACTACGCAACCTCCCAAGTCAACAGAAAGAACTTGCCCAGCATGCACAGCAGATTTATGCAAAAAACAAGCCAAGACATCATCACGCACTGCAGTCAGAATACCGCCCCTTTGCCGACCCAAGCTATCAGAAATAAAACCAAGTTGACACCATCCTCTGGAGCCGTGCTGCTGTTAGAGTTGCGTTTGAGATGTTGGAAGTTTTTCCCGCGAAGGCTCTGGAACGGTTCTTAGCGCAACAAGGTTTAGCATGGCAGGTCTTGCAGACAGGGGACCGACGTCGAACACAGAGGCCAACCAGCCACCGCCCCAGGACCATGCAACGACGATCGGGTAGATGAAGCTCGTCATGCAGAAGGCGTAGACGGCGTAGGTGGGGCTCTTCACACGCTCGGCCACGCCACCGCTCACAATGGTCGCCCCCGCGGTGCAAAATGCCCATTGGAAGAACCAGCTCAGCATTGTGCTTTGGCATCCATCCGCATCACACGATGCCAGAGGTGCGATAACGCCGGTGGTCGCATCCATCGTGTAGAAGCCGATGCCAAAGAAACCGTCGGTCCCAATGAAGCCATTTTTTGGAGTTCCTTGACTGCCATAGGCGAAGGCCCATCCGAAGACCCACCAGCCCAGCGTTCCTACCGTCACGTTCACCAAGTTCTTCATGAGGACGTTGGAGGCATTCTTCGCACGGCAGCTGCCCGTCTCCAGCATGGCGAAGCCAGCATGCATGAACATGACCAAGGCACCGCACAGGCACAGCCAAGCGGAGTCCAAGGCACCGCCAAAGCTGTAGTCTGCATTCTGCAGCTCCGCGACCTGACCACCAAGCATGAATGAGCAGTGCTGGCAAAAAGCGTGACAGCTACGCCGGTGCCCCAATTATGCCAGATCCGTGCATCGGCCGGATCTGGGCATATCCGTGCAGGGTGTCAGCGGGCTATCGCTGCATCGTCGGGATATCATGTATCGGGGCATGTGTGTGTGCTCCATGGAATGATGGGGGCCTTGCTGTCGTAGTCAGCCTGGGTGACATATGTCACATTGGCCGTCTGAAGCTGACGGTGAGCAGAGTAGGACTCCAACTTCAGCTCTTGCTCCTGTCACAGGACACAGGATCTGCCTTCAGATTCTGAAATTCCTGAATCTGTTAGCCTGTCCTTGATGAGATTGCCCTGCTGTGCCACCTCTGCACGAAGGAGGTTCAGCTCTTCCAGCAGCCCTTTCTCAGAAAGGTCTGCTGTTGCGACCTGAAGGGCCAACTGGCTGCTGCAACCACGACTCAAATATTCCCTTCTACGCCTGAGCCGGGGACCCCCACCGATGCGACGATGAGAAGCAGGATCATTTTTCGCACACGCAACCTCCCTGAGCCCTCAACGCTGATGGAGACCGAAACAGCATGGCAGGTGAAAAAACAGCTACTGTGCACATCGCTTTGCATCTGCATCTGCAAACCAGCACTGAAAAAACACGAAGCCTCGCGCAGGACGAAGTAGGTTTCAAACATGTTCCTGATCTTGGGGGTTTGGGGGACTGCGTACCGGCATCCTGTGGCTTGATTGCAGGCAGGCAGCGCATAACGCATAATGGACAGCTGCCTGGCATGCCAAATGCAAAGGACTTGTGCCATCAGCTGAAAGCCTCTGCACAACCTCTGCACACTGTGTGCATTGGGACAGTTTTCACAATCTTCGGTCGGGTTTACATTGGCTGTGGTTCCCAAACAGGTTCAAAGATCAGGCTCTGCTCCGGCCACCTGGCTGACAGCATGCTGCATGTGAGGCTAAACCCGGTGCTTCCTTTTTCGGGGCCACCGACTCGGTGTTCCTGGTATCCCAGAAGCCTTTGCTACGTTTTGCAACGATGAAGACCAACTGCCTCATCAGAAATCAACCGGATGCTAGGCACGGCACCGAGGCATGTCGCAGGCAACCACACGGTAGCCTCTGCCAGTGAAACGCGCTCGAGGCATAAGAGATTGAAACGTGCATGCGCCTGGAAAGTTGCTGTCTCCATGATCTCAGGATGCTCACGGAGGCTATCATGCCACTGGGGTGTTTTGACTTGTTTTGCTTGCTGGCTATCAGAGTTTCTCGTCCAAGCGTTCCTTGTTTACCTGGTGAAGGATGGCCAGGCAACATGTGGTATGGCTTGCAGCAAACGGTGTAAGATGCCCCAGCTCAGAACTTTTAGCACAGGCTTGACGCGGAAATGGTCACAAGAATTCCTAGGTTGGCCATCTGCATGCTCCAGGCGTACAGCATCATTTTGAAATTTGCCTCGAAGTCTTTGGCGAGGGTGTCAGCTCGGGCAGCCTTCATGAATTCGAAAGAGGCAAGGACCCTTTTCGTTTTGCTCATCCTACCCTTCTGGCACAGATGGGTGCATGCCTCGCTTTCTTTGGCACGCTGCATGTCCTGTCAGCGTCTCATAGTATGCTTCAAAAGCTCTCATCCCCAGCTCCCACATTGCTTCTGCCTCGAGACTGGCGGACTTGGTGGAAGCCAGACGCCTGCAGGGAAAGGATCCTCTCAGCTCTCGACTTTGATCAACTAAAATCATTTTTCATCTCTCTCTGCAGAGTTAAGCTTATGACTCAGGGTTCTTGAGCTTCCATAGTGGGTGGAGCTCCGACTAGGCAAAGCTAACTTGCGAACCCAGCCGCTCAGCTGCTTGCATTCGTTCCAGCGCCTGCTCTGCTCCAAGGGGCGAAGGGATTCGCCACACAAGGAACCACCCCCATGTTCTGCGCATAACTGCTAAACAAGCCCGAGAGGCCATATCCCGATCCTGAGATAGCGCAGAGGTCGCAAAAAATTGTGCAATCCAAGGCCTCTCTGGACACCTGACATGAAATGCCTCCTTCTCAGAGAAGCTTCGGACTCCAGCTCCTGGCAGAGCCGCGACATCCGCTCGCACCTCAGATCTCTCATGGATCAAGGCCTTGTCTTTTCTTCAAAGACTGCAAGTGCAGTTCAAAGAATAATCGGCAAAAAGAGCTGTAGGCATTTGAAGGCGCAAACCAACGCTGGTAATGAGAGCCAGCAGTCTTGTGAAGCAGCACTCAACAAACTTCTTTCCAAAACCACACCGTGTCGACGAACTCAGAATCTTGAGCATATCTGCCGACCCGGCCTGACGGGGCGTGCGCAGAGTGAGCTAATGTTCCCGCGCCTGCCCCCCACTACCTCGACTCCCACCCCAACTGCCCGCCGCTGGCCCCAAGCTGGTGACCACGCGCATCAGTTGCGGCCGCCTTGTATGAGTGTCTGTGTTCAGGATCAGGTTGTTTTCAGATTATGAGATTATGAGTGCTACCGTTTCTGGGTCAGACAGGTCCAGCAACTTCGACAACTCTGAAGCACCGTTTCGTATGCTGTACTCAAACAAAACGATGGATAAAAGCCTGGCCTAGGACGTGTTGCCATCCACACCTCCACCGCAACCCCTTGCCACAGGCGAAGCCTTGCACGCGCGAGCGCGGCCTGCGTGAGATTGGCCTTACCTGTGCCACTTTTGCCTTGTAGGAGCACGATCAACATGCTCTTGCGAATGAGGAACCACCAAAGACTGTTGAGGAAAATCAGCCTTTCTTCGCGCTGGAGTTCCGCTCCAAGAGTACAAGTCAAAGGAAAGCAAGAGAACTCTGCTTCCGACATCGTTGCTGAAAGACCCCTACAGCAAACCCCATTGCATTATTTCACACTGCATTTTCTTGCTGAACAACGTGTGGAGTCGAGGTTTGCCGGAAGAGGTTCCTGGGCCACCCACTCAGTTCCCTCTGCCTGCACAGGCTGGTAACATTGCATGCCATGTCGAGTCAGTAGAAACTCGCTAGCTCATACACGCTTTAGCAGCAAGTTCCCTTGCAGCCTCACGCTGCGTGCGAAGCTCACAACTGGACCTCACCGAGTTCTGTAGACATGGCAGACAAGCCACTGTTTGACACGGCCTTTGCAGCTCCTCGAGCTGCGATTCCAGGCCTCACATCTGAGCCGAGGCTCCCAAAATGCGGGGATTGCGTTCACTTGTCAAGACACTCAGCCGCTTCTGCCGCTCCTGGTCCACTACCTGCAAGGTCAACAGACGTTGAAAATCAGCCTGAGATAGATACATGATGCATGATGATACATGGGTACATACACCAAGCAGTGGACCTCGCGCAAGCTTTCAGCATCTGCGACCTGGCACGGGCTCTTCCATGCTTGCGCCTTGCTGGCAGACGCGGCTCCTGCTCCTCAGAACTTTGTCGCAAATGCAGCAGCTCTTCCTGCGATGCGCAATTTGCAATGCGCTGCAAGAGGAGTGTCAAGGTTTGACGACAAGCTCCTAGCCTCCATGGCAGAGCTTCGGGCAGTCAGCTCCTGTACCTCTGCTTGCCTGGCGCTTTCAACTTGATTAGCCAGCCTTGAAGGAGGCAGGGCAGAAAAACTGCCAGTAGCTCAGCTTCTCGTTGCGCTCCTTCTCTGCAGCTAGCAACCTCAGCATTCTCACTACCGAACGGCTAGCTCTGCACAAGTCTGGAATTTGAGACTGGGGCCCATCGAATCCGTCCGTTGCATCTGGTGCTACAGGGCTGGTCCCTCCCTGCCTGAAACACGGAAGCTTTGGAAACTGAAATAATAGATAGTTTGTATCTCAAAAGGCTGTGGCAGCGCTGCAACTTTGGCCTCACCGCAAGGCTTCTGTGGTAAATCGGGTCAAAAGCTTCCTGACTGCAGCCTCCAGCTCCGCGTTCGTGCGCACAACCTGCAATAAAGAATGCAGCCGCTGCTTGCATATATGCTGCATGAGAGGCCTTTGCTGGCCTCCTCCAGCTTTTGCTGCGCGATCTTCGCTTGCTCCAGCCTCTGCTTTGCACATGGGTGGTTGTCAAAATTGTGGTCCCTTTGGGTACCCTAAATATTAGGTGCCGTAGTATAATAGGGATCCACAAAGGGACCATAATTTTGACAACCACCCACATGCAGTTGCTGTTACGCACTCCCTCAACCGGGGCTTCTACTCGGATTCGTGCCGGACCTTTGGAAGGCATTACGTCGGTGAACACATCTCTTGACAGTTACCAGCCATGCCTGCAGATCCTGAAGAGCAGCATTCCGCTCTTCTCCCCTGGCAGCCTGCAAGGATGCGCGTGAGGACATCCAGCTGAGTCGCTAAGTAAGATGTTGTCAATCTTGCATAGAAGGCCAATCCAGCAATGCCTCCAGCTCCAATGTCAGGCTGTTAACCTGGTTCTCCAGCTCGGCCTCTATAGACCACGGGCCGTGTGATACTCCGGACATAGCGACAGAGTGCAAGCAAATGCAAACACATTGCCCTGCACACGATGCAAGGAACTCCTAGTCTGGCCTTGGCTTCTGTGACTGCATCAAGCTCATCCTGGGCGAAGCAAGCCCCAGTAGGCCCTGGTGTGCCCCACAGCATTTTTGAACCCGATGCTTGCGACTCGGCGATTTCCAGCTTGGTATTCCAAACCGCTTGAGCTGGGCTTGTAGCGGCAAGCTTTAGAAGAGTCTTACAATCGAGTTCCGTATCGTTCCGGTCCTCGAGGTCACCCAGCTTCTTCCGCAAGGCCTCGCGGACAAGGAGCTGCAACAGGCACCGCCAGCTAACAGACCATTGACAAAACCAAGAAGTCGGGTGGACATCCAGCATTGAGACATGCAGGCATGCTGTCCGCTTCTTTGCCCCTTGCTCCTAGCAGAAGAATGTCTCACAGCCTCAGTGTATCGAGCAACTGTTTCAGACCGGTGCGGTGGGCGTAGCACAGGCAGCCGAAATCGGACGCGCGGAGGCTGTTGCACTGCTGCGAGCCCCGTACAGAGCTTAAGAATCCTGGAGAGACATCACACTGCGAGTTCCATCGCTTGATTTCGCGGATCCACAACTGACAACTTCGTATGGTGTTTGCTCCCACAATGTCGAGAAGGCTTCAGGAGCATGGCTTGCTTAGTCTTCGCCACTGCATCCACTGCATGCTGATTTGTTGCTTAAACGTGCTTAGACTTAAACTGCTCACATTGTACCACCAGTTTCTTTGCAGGCCTGCTTCTCGCGTCAAGTTGTGCACAGCTTATGAAAAGCAAGTCGATCCAAAGGATTTTGCCTTGCCTCACAACTTTGCTGCAGTGCTCAGTTCAATTGTCCTAAGCGCCGCGTGGCATGCCTGGGACCCCAGATAGCAGTACAAATTCACCTTCATGCGGTAGGCGCAATTTAAGCTTGAAGGCTTCGGCCTTGAGAGTGGCATCGGCCATTCCTCGCAATGGGTACGGTCGGGTCAAATCACTGCTCAGGGACCGGGCAGAGTAAGGAGCTGACACGCATAGCCACAGGTCCGCTGGAACCGGTTGAAATCTGGAGCCCAGGCAGCTGACTCACAGGGCAGTAAGGTAATGAGCCGTGCTAGATAGACCGACGCAGGCATTGAGAATTTGTTTTGCCATTCCCTGAGCAGACCCAAGAAAAATGTCTTGTGCAACTGGCATAGTTCTTGGCCTGTAAGACTAGGATTCCTGCTTCCCAGGAAGATTTCAGAAAGGGAAACTACGGATTGTGCAATGTCACCCGCTTTTCTTGTTGCAAGCATCCAGTCCAGTTCCAGCAATTTTGCAAGGGGACTCCGAGCTTCAGAACTACCTCACAGCCTCGGTGCTCTGAAGGCAGAATTCCAACTCATGCCTCTTGCCAGATGCGATTCATTGCACTTCTGGCATCCTTTCTCCGACATTCTTCGGACAGCGAGACGTTGGTGCTGTGGCTTTGGCAGGCTATCTATGCATCCATGTAGAAGTAACGCTTGCACGATTAGGAATACATGCAATCTTGTCTCCCTGCTGACTTAATACTGGCTTTTTGGAAATGTGATCTGCCCGCTGCGAAAGCCAATGTAAAGTGGAGGTGTTTCCATCGGCTTAAGCTCTTGCAAGTGCATAAACACTTTCGGCAATTGCTAGACTGCTAGACACCTTCCACGGGGCATGCAAGGAGCTCCACTCCCCAAGGATGCGGCTTTTAGCCGCTCCGGCAGGCAAAACTGCGTCTCAGCCAGCCGCTGCCCCCAACACTACCGGCTGAATGCCGGCTACGGCATGGGCGGCATGGTCTACTCCTCAGATGTCTGACTTATCAGCCTGAGCAGGCGGACTCGCTGGCGCCCCGATGGCGTAGGCCTTGGGGGGCGAGTGCTGCTTCACGTCCATGCCGACTTCTTCCGTGTACTCATCGATGCGCAGCAGCCCGGTTTTCTTCAAAACGAGGAAGGCCAGACCTGACAGGCTTCCAGCCCAGACGATCACCATCAGCACCAGGATGAACTGAGCTCCGATCGCAGTGCCGCCGATTCCTGTCTGGCATGTGGAATCTGTCTCGCTGACCGGCATGCAACCAAAGCCACTCCAGCCGTGGTAATGGTCAAAGCCCTTGCCCCAATCAAAGAGGCCAGCTGCCAGGACACCCCAAATGCCGCAGAAGCCGTGCACCGGGCTGGCATCCACCGGATCGTCGATCTTGAGCTTTTGCAGCAGCATGGATGAAGCCTGGTACACCAGGCCGCCAACCAAGCCAATTGCAAAGGCACTGCCGCACTCCACGTTGCCACAGCCGGCGGTGATGGACACCAAGCCCGCCAAAATGCCATTGCAAAGGCCGCCCACATCGTACTTTTTCATGACGGCATATCGGAGGATGAAAACCGTGATGCCACCGGTGGCAGCGGCCAGCGTGGTGTTCATTGCCACCTGCGCGGCCAAGGCACCCGTCGCCCCATCATGCATGCCCAGCGTGGAGCCCGGGTTGAAGCCATACCAGCCAAACCACAACGCGAAAGTGCCAAGCACGACCTGAGCAAGACCAGGCAGGTGCAATGCGGAGCTCCAAAACCACTGTTCCGAAAAAGGCCACACACGCGGGGTCCATGTGGAAGTGATTTTTCTCTTCCAGAAATGTGTCAAAGCACAAGACATAGCAGTGACGTTGTGCTTCCCAAACATCCCAAATTCAGCAGGAACTGTGAAAACCGGCTGCAAAAAAAAAGGAAGAGGCCTGAAATCGGTTATCGATGGCAATTAACCCATTGACTGAATTCACCAAACTCTGCCTTTCCGATCATGTGAAGATGTCTGTAAATTTGTCACTCAAATGAATCTAATTTAACAATGAATCACAACCTATCTGCAGCTTTTTCCAGTTCCCTTCATTGTAGCGCTGATCAGCAATGAGTCGAACAACCACGGCGCAGTCCGTCCTGGACTTGGTTTGAAAAGGTTTGCTGTCCCCCAGCAAGTGCCCTGGAGACAGTGTTGTCCCCCACAAGCCAAATCCAACCTTTCCTTGGTTGGATCCTGGTGCCAAGCTGTCCCGCCTCTTTCTCATACTTGGCGTGTTGTATCCTCTGCCTTTAAGTCGCCATGGCCCTGAAAAAAGACCACGGCTTTCGCACCCGCATCAGCTTCAAGCATCTCTAAGGCCACCTTGGCCTCTTCCGGATCACTTGTTGCAAAAACCAGCATTGGTTTTTGCTTATCGTCCAACGCTTGTCTCAAAGTAGCCAAGTCCTCAACCACCATGGATGGGAGCGCCGGGGTGCTCCAATCATGAGCAGGCAGCTTCCAAGCATTGCGTGACCAAACTTCCGCCCTTACGCTTTGGTGTCTCGTGTGTTTTGACAGGCGCCTCAGACTTGGTAGCGGCAGCACCTTGGCATGAAGCAGGCGGCGAGCCCCAAGCCCACCAGCTCCAGTCCTGCCATCCAGATGCCGCCCAGTCATCCTGAGAGGCTGTGTGCCATCCATGTTGCCACCCTCAGCATCCGCCACCAACTTCTTCAGGGCCTTTGAGAGGGCATGACCTCCAGAGGGAGGGCGCTGGCAAAGGTCCTGCAAGCCATTCCACAAATAGGTTTCCACTTCATCTCCCGAGGAGGATCATCAGCAAGAAGCTCACGGAGTCCCTCAAGCAAACGGCTACCCCCGCCTCGAAGTCTTGCGCGATGGCAAACGAGTCTCCATCTCAACCTGTCCCTACAGGCCACAAAGAAACTCACCTTCCATCTCCGCTTCCTTTTCTTGTCGAGATCGTCGAATTGGATTGCTTTTGTGCGCCAAGTGCATCTGCCGAAACGGGCCACGAAAGCAAAGAGCCACACAAGGCATGTACAGCAAAAAGCGCGTCCATCACATTGGAAAAGACACTGTTGCGTCGGGAACGCTGTGGGGTAACAGCAAAATGCCCATTGGATTGAACTTGTGGAAGATGACGTCGCACAGTGCTGCAGAACGGCACAGGCTTGCTCATTACTACATCCCTCCATGGCCACGCTAACCTGGATGCCAGACGCCAGTCAGGCCTAGAGCCTTGCTTGGCTGACAAAGGCACAGCGCCAAACAAGATGTTCCCAGTTAGGAACAAGGAACATAGGCCCCTTGACAGAACGGGCATTGCTGACTCAACTGGTTGCCACGGATGCTGTCATAGCAGGCTACGCTGTAGCTGCTCCTACCATGACTGCTCGTGCTGCTTGAGCGCATCAGTGAAGATACGTTTGGCCTTGGCGAGACACCTCCTCTGAATAAGAAACATGCCCCCTGAGTGCGGCGCTTTCACGCCTACGAGTGTTCAAAAAATTGGAAAACCGTTGCTGCCTCCACGCTTCCCGCAAGGTGCGCAGCGTCTGTTTAAGCCATTGCTCTGTGTAGCCGGCCCACTGTACGGGGGCCACCTGCTCGTGCCGGAAAACCCTATTGTCAAAACGAAACCCGAACTGGCTCATCCCTTCAAGAATATCGCCAAACCACTGCTTACCCCGCAGTAAAACACCGTGGTCCCTCCAATACCTGTAGGCTCTCTTGCAGGTGGCAACAGCGTTTTGCAGCTGTACAAATCAAGGGGCAGTGTAATGCCCTTGCAAGAGCTCCCGGAGCCCTAGCCAATAGCACCCGTATGATGCACCCCAACAGCTCTTTTGATGGCAGCACCAAGCCTCCGTGATGTCTTGAAGTCCCGAGGGACAAGCCGCCACCGGCCCCACACAAAGAGAAGCACCACACGAGACCTAACCAGGTTGAACCTGAGGTTGTTGGGCACTGGGAGTGCGGCCACGCGTTGCAACACCTTCCTGGCCTGGCTCTCCCGCATGTCGGCAGTAGGAAAGTCGAGGCACCCGTGCTGCACAAAGTCAACCCCCAAAGCCCTACAGCTGGCCACACAGCGGGCAAAGGGGACGATGCCCGTCGACAGGCCACCCACAGCTTAGCAGCATTTTCTCTGAGGCCAAGTCTTTGGGACCACGTTTCGCAGTGGTCCAAGACGAGACGCACATCCTCAGGGTGGTGGACAATGACCTCACGATCATCCCGAAACAAGGCTTGCACTGCCCGGCGCCTAAGTGCGAGTTCCCGAAACGCTTGGCCCCTCGCTGCGTAGCCAAGATGAAGGCTACAGGGGCCATGGCATCTCCCTGGGGAGTACTGGTCTCCACCACAAAACGCCCCAAAATGGAGGAACCTTTTCTGCTGGAAATGCTTGACCCACATGTCTGGCAGGCCGAGATGGGCCATTAGCCCCACACTGATGGTAGGGCGCAGGTAGTCAAAGCCCCTACATGAAAGCACTCGCCCTCTTGCTGCACACTGTTCCCCAAGAGGTCAAAATCACGGACATCTCTATCCATCACAGCAGATTCCCCCAACTGTTCTGAAGACACGTCGCAAATAGTCTCAGGCCAGGCCCCTTCTGTGCTGCAGTTATCCGAACCTGAAGCTTGATTGTCACAGCAGATGCGCAATGGGCCAAACAAGCTATAGGGAAGCCATCCAGAAAATCCTTCAGGCGCACGCATGGCAAGCCTCAAGTGTCACTAGTTGCTAGTGGCACCTGAGTCTACAACCTGTCTGTCTCTACCACCTGGAGCCACATCATCGACGCGTAATCGAATCGAAAAGCTTAGGGCGAGTCGAACATCGCAATCATGAGCTAAGATGAATGGACTTCCATCAGCCAAATTGCAAGGTGCTTCTCACACAGGGCTCCTGCCGAGATACCAAAGGCAAGCTGCGGCACTCAAACTCCTCCGGACTCACGAAACGTCCCTTGCGTGGGCCGAGCACCACCGTGCCGGCCAAGGCACTGACGCCACCCGTCAAACGCACCACGCCGCTGCCAGCAAAGTCCATGTAGCGGAAGTGTTGACGTTGCCCTCAACCTGGTTCTTGAAGAAGACCGATTGCAGGCAGAACACAGCTTATAGCTGCGGGCACACACACTGCATGCAGGCATCATGCAACAAGCGAGTGTGCCACATGCGCCTACTGCAGGCTAGCGATTGCAAGCACTTGCCACGCGGCAGCCGCCATGGGCTACAGTCTATCTGGCCAAATCAAGAAAGATGCGCGCAAAACATGCATCTGCTTGAGTGTGATCACGCACAGGGATGTTCATGCACAGCGGTACAGAACGAGTTGCTTACGCACACTTGCCAAGTGATCAAGGACATGTGCACCGTACTGGGGAGGCGCCCCCGCACAAGGCCAACCTAGGGTTAGCTGCATGGCATCCACTGGCCGTCACTGGCCGTTTCGGGCGAGAGGCCTGGAAGGCTTGGCATTCCCAGGCACAGTGTTTCCAGTCCACTGTGTTGCGGCAAAAAGGGCAGAAGGCAAGGGCCTCACCCACGCGCGAAACCTGCATCCTTGCCGGACTGACGATGGAGCCTGTCATAACAGCACGTCCGTGGCCGCAGGTACTGTTCCACAGGCGGTACGCCTGTCTTCGCTGCACTGCACGCGCGCACACGCAGCAGCGTCCTCCTACTAGACTGCTTCCAGGCTTGGAAGCGTTGTCTACGCCACGCCGCCCTCAGCAGACGCTTGCGCCAGCTGATCCTTTCCCTCGAGAGGTGCGTCCAGTGTCCGGAGCTGCCGGCCTAAGTCTTTGAGGTGTTGCCAAGCTGCATACTGCCACGTCCCTTGAATGGCTCGCGCTGCGATGTTGGCATATCCCTGTTGGAAGAGCCGTGCCCACATCGACACAGTTTGGCTGCGCGCCATAAACTGTAGGTCCAGACTGTGCCCCTGCAGTATTGGTCATTGGAGGGCTGACTGGAATAAGCGCAGAGGGCCTTGGCAAGGTGGGTCTGCAACTTACTCCGTACCCCACACAGCCACAGGGACGACATGCTGTCTCAGGAGAGCGCACTTGTGGGCGAAGGCGAGGGAAGGTGAGCAATGCGTTTCGCTCTTGCTTCCGCTACTTGCTTTCTTTGCTGATGCGTGGGGCGGTCCTTGCCGTTGATCCTGGCGCGAAAGTCCACTCCCAACACACGCAGGGTGAAGACTACAGGCACGATCCCGGAAGCTGACACTTTCTCGCTGGCAAGTTCCTCCAGCTAGAAACTTTTGCTTAGCGAAATTTTCTCGCAGGCCTAGCTGCGAGGCCCACCTGTGCCAGAAGGCAAGTGTACGCTGCAGCGGGCCGGGGCCCGCAACGACCACATTTCTGTCATCTAGGTACACACACAGTTCAGCGGAAGGTTCTGCTTACCTAAAGGCTTGCACAGGCGCCCACAAAAAGGCGTTGAGGCTCATGGGCTCATGGGCGACAACCGCCAAGTTCGCTCTGTTGCGACGCCGGAACTCTGCCTGCCAAGCCTGGGATATAGCATTGGGATCGCACTGCCGGTTCCAGACCCGCTGCCAGTAAGTGTTGAGAAGGCGAACGCGGTGCTGCGCGTCCTTGCCGCGCTCTTCGTCTAGAATGAGGCAAGCCGGTGCCTGTTGGGCACTGCTGTGTATCCATCTCTTGAGGCCAGGCCCGGACGCAGGCACCCTAGTCCTCCACGCGCTCAGGCGTTGCAGGTATTGGGCCCGAACCAACCTATCTAACTCGTCCTGTGTTTTGGACAGCAGCATGGATACGTGGCAACCGTTCATCGGCAGGGCTACGAGGCTGGGCACGCTTGGCATGCGTATGCCTGGCGCTGGCCGCCTTGTTGCGGCGTGCAGTGGCAGAGTGGCAAGAGGCACCACTTGCGCTAGGCAGCCACGACTTGCCGCCGCCGCGCATGTCAAGGAGCAGCTGCTGCAAGACGCCCAGGCCCTCCTTGACGGTCGCCCCGGCTTTAGGCACGTCAGCAGTGTTCTCGAAACGCAACAGATATATAGCGTTGGCCACGCAGCGCAAGGTACACAGCTGTACCAGCAAGGCTCCCAAAAGCAGTGACCGTAGCAGTGCCCTGTTGCACCTCCTTCTTAGTGCCCATAGCGACCACAATGCGCAGCTTCAGTCTTCTGGCCGCAGCGTAGAGACAAAGCGCATCAATCCATTTACTTTTGTGAAGGATGGCCACTCATCACAATTCTGCGGCGCGCTGCCTCCTTCAGTAGTTTCCGTGGCGCGTGGGTCCTTGTCCCACAGGGGCTCAACTTCTGCGCGGTGCCTTCCAATCCACGTGAACACCTCGGATCGGAGGGTACGGGCTCTGACGTCAAATTCAAGCTTGACTTTGTCCCACGCTGTTTTGGAAGGCAAGGGCCGCAGCGAGGCAGAGGAAACTGCACGCCCCATCACCCCCGCAGTCTTGTTCAGCGCAAACTGACTTAGTAGGGGGGTTGCGTGTGGGAGAGCGGCTACGGGCGCGGTCTGTTCTGTCCTCAGCGCTTTGAGTTGGCTCTTTAGCAGGCTTTGCTGTGGGAGCATTGGTGCTTTCGACTGAGTAGCTGGCGGTTTAACTTCTGTGGTAGGCTGGGCTCTAAGGGGGGTAGAGGTGCCTACATGAGCGCAGCTTTGTGCTCGAGTGAGCACCAAGCTAGTGTCTCCTGCCATAACTTCAGTGATGGCACCGACATCGGCATCAGGGAAGACGCACTTGACGACCCATCTCTTCTTTTTGTTGCCCCGGCGGAGTACCGTGACATCTTGACAACCGGCGCCCTTGAGGCACTGCACAAGCACGGCACATGGGCAACTTCCCACGCACGGAGACACGGCTTGGCAGCGGAGGCTTTACACCGAAGTCCAAGGTAAGAGCCGCCGCCCCTACGAAAGGCTATGCCTGCGTTGGTCTGTGTAGCTTGCTTCCACACCCGGTTGAAGTACGTTTTGTCATCTTCTCCTTCTTGTAGTTGCACCCATTCTACAGGGAGTTTTCGGCCTTGCTCACTAGCCAAGCGGCTGACAAACACAGCTCCCTGACCGTTTTTGGCAAGGACTTTGTCAGCCTCGGGTCTGTCGACCTTGAGAAAACACTCTAAGAACAACGCGCCATCCTCCATTCGAGTTTCTTTGAAACCATTGGCAGAATGAAAGGCAGGGGACCATTGCTTACGGGCGGCCCAAGGCGTCGAGTGCCATTGCTGCCAAACAGCAGCCTCAACGCAGCGCTTGACCACAGTGACGCGCAAAGTAACCAGGTCTCTTGTTTGCGGGCAGTAGGTGGTCTGGCGAGGAGTGGCAGCAGGCAACACAGGGAGGTCCTCGCCAAACAAAGGCACAGCCCATGCATTGGTGAGCACGCGGGCTTGCCCGTTCCAGCATACAAGTTTCAGGTCCTTGGCTAGGTCAGGCCTCTTATAACTTTGTCCGAGGCGCGGAGAAGGAGGGCAAACTTCCCTTGCAGGTCAATGTGCCTGGGCGAGAGAGCGCAGCTTGGCCACCCCCTCCAGGCTGTTAACAACCACCGCCTCCCCTTCAGGAGCCCGTCCGGACTGAAGGGCCTCAAGCACAGCTTTGTACTCGTTGACAGCACGTGGCTGCTGTCAAGTACTAAGGTCTAACAGCATGGACGGTTGCGGACCTTCGGTAGGTCTTTGGGCTTGTCAGGGCTCGCGCCAGCAGACGCTGGTGCACCGGTCTTGTTACTAGCAGGCTTACGTCGGCCATTTTGGACCGTACGCCACCCTTCAGCATCTTCCTGGGCCAGTTGCTGTTGCTGCTGGGACACGGTAGGGCACTCAGTGGCCTGCACGTGGCGGGTCGCTTGGTCAGCAGGAGGGCCACTGTCCCCACCACTTTTGCCAGTGTGAAGCTTGAGGAGGGGCTGCGCGTCCGCCAGTAGCTTCTCTGGCCTGGTGTGTGCAGTAGCAACGAGTGAGCGCAGGTCCTCCAACAGTCTCGCTTCTTGCACAGTGTTGCTAGGCGGAGCGTTTACCGGCTTTGGCCGCTCATGCGCTGGTTTGGCTGGCCCGCCAGCAGTAGCAGCAGCCTTCTGAGCACGCTTTCGTCTAGTGGTTCTGGCCCCACCTCCCCCTCCTTGGAGGAGCCGGTTGAGACCCTTGGCAGTGTGCACGTTAGCACGGTAGGCCCTGTGGTACAGCTTGTGTGTGGCCTTGCACTCATACAACGGCCCTTGACAAAAAGCGACTGACAACACACTTGTCTCAGTCTTGCACCCTAGTACGTGGGAAGCGTAGTAAAAGCTACGCTGCTTCCAGCAGTACCTGCGCCTGGCAATCCACCTCGCCTCAGTGAGCACCAATGGTGAGGCGCAAACATTGCACCTCCAGCACACGCAGATGGTGCCGGCGATGAGGCAGATGCAACTTGCAAGCGGCACAGCGACTAACACGCACATCAAAACTGACTTACAGAAATCCCAACCTGTGTCGTGCCAAGGTGGCACTGTTCCCACACAAATTAGCAGATTGCGGAGACACTTCGCTCCTCTGAAGAAGAGGCCCGCTGCATCCGATGACAACGTAGTCAAGGAGGCGGTCTCGTTGCAGCCAAAGTCCATGGTTGGTTCACATGGCTCCTCCCTCGGGGTGCAAACCCGCACTGGTTCACCACAAGCACTCCAAGTCTCGTGTGGGTTTTCATAAGGCCGCTGCCACCACGTGAAGGTAACCCACCACAGCTTGGGACGAAATGGCTTGAGCCGAAATGGCCACGGTTTGTAGACTCAAGTGTCACTAGTTGCTAGTGGCACCTGAGTCTACAACCTGTCTGTCTCTACCACCTGGAGCCACATCATCGACGCGTAATCGAATCAAAAAGCTTAGGGCGAGTCGAACATCGCAATCATGAGCTAAAATGAATGGACTTCCATCAGCCAAATTGCAAGGTGCTTCTCACACAGGGCTTCTGCCGAGATACCAAAGGCAAGCTGTGGCACTCAAACTCCTCCGGACTCACGAAACGTCCCTTGCGTGGGCCGAGCACCACCGTGCCGGCCAAGGCACTGACGCCGCCCGTCAAATGCACCACGCCGCTGCCAGCAAAGTCCATGTAGCCTGAGAAAAGACATCACCAACTGCAGCCCTACATATTTAGCATCTATCACGTGCATCCTATGCGTCCGAGCAAACACTGCAGGTTCTTGAACTGGGATTCAGCTCATCAGCGACATCCAGAGCTCTGTAACAGTTGTACCCAAAGTCCTCCAATACATACTTCAGAAAAGCAGAGGGGCTCATGATGAGTTGCAGAGACAGGGGCCTAAGCACATGAACGATACCTGAAAAGCAAGCCCATGCGGACAGGCAGCCCACATCCAGCACGGAGGCCAACCAGCCACCGCCCCAGGACCATGCAACGACGATCGGGTAGATGAAGCTCGTCATGCAGAAGGCGTAGACGGCGTAGGTGGGGCTCTTCACACGCTCGGCCACGCCACCGCTCACAATGGTCGCTCCCGCCGTGCAAAATGCCCATTGGAAGAACCAGCTCAGCATCGTGCTTTGGCATCCATCTGCATCACACGATGCCAGAGGTGAGATGACGCCGGTGGTAGCATCCATCGTGTAGAAGCCGATGCCAAAGAAACCGTCGGTTCCAATGAAGCCATTTTTGGGAGTTCCTTGACTGCCATAGGCGAAGGCCCATCCGAAAACCCACCACCCAAGGGTTCCTACCGTCACGTTCACCAAGTTCTTCATGAGGACGTTGGAGGCATTCTTCGCACGGCAGCTGCCCGTCTCCAGCATGGCGAAGCCAGCATGCATGAACATCACCAAGGCACCGCACAGGCACAGCCAAGCGGAGTCCAATGCACCGCCGAGTTTGTACTGTTCGTTCTGCAGTGCCGTCACCTGTCACACTGGTGCTTGTCAAGAGGTGATCCCTAGTAGCCCTAGCAGACCTGCATGCTCAGAAGCAACTGCACACCTGAGTAGTAAACTCCGTGTCAGTCAGGTAAGCTGTCTGAAGCTGGCGAGGTTGCGCCAAGGACTCAAAGCGTTGCACCTGCTCCTGAATTGCTCTCAGCGTGAGGCTCCAGCTGAAGTAAAGTCAAATGCAGATTGCCGTCCTCTATCAGCTTTCTTTGTGCCAACACCTCTGATCGCAACGAGCCAAGCTCATTTTCCAGGATGTCAGCCGTTGCCAGTGCAACCTGGTCACCAGTAGCATGGGCTTTGAGACATTATTAGGCTCCTGAACCGAGGCAGGGGCAGTGAAAAGGCTCCAAATCATGTAGGACCTCATCTCAACCTGTTCTGCTGGATCCCTCAAAGGCTGTTGGTGTGACATGTTTCCCCTCATCCCCCCTGCCTGGTCCCAAAGTTTTACAAAGCACCTGCAGAGTGAATCGTAGCCAATCTCAAGCAAACCGCTTCACAGGACTGTCGGAGTCGGCACCTCTTTTTTATCCTTCTTGGAGAGCAAGCGGTGAGCCCATGGCTGCGGTGTGAATCCATGCCGGGCCTAGGGCTCCACCCTAGCTTTCAACGTGTCCGCACACCAAAAAAGACAGCATGTTCTTTCCGGTGCAGTGCGGTACAGCCAGGAAGGCTTGGCCATGCTGGCATTCATCGGAGCAGGTGCTCACAGGGTCTGCGGTGCAACAGCTGACGCATGGGAAATCTCACAAAAATGTATTTTCACAAACAAAGATAATAGCAAAGTCCCACGTTTTGGTTCAGCTTCTGCAGAAGGAGCAGATTTCCTTTCAAGCTACTCGTACAAGTGCAGTCAGCAGACAGTTGCGGGCTCAACCACATGTGCTGGACCTCGAGGGGGGCTCAACCTGCCCAGACTCACTGCTGATTGCCTTTGCCAATAATGGGAATGTCTGGGAAAACCATGTACCGATTCGCAGGCCAATCCCGCGCTGTTTTCAGCACAGGATGCCAAAACTTTTGCGACCAGCTTCTGTGGTAGCTCCACTACCACTGAGCTGACGACGTAAGGGAAAGCAACCACTTCCAATCTCTTTGCAAGCTCACTTCGAAATAGAGTATGCCTTGGGTGGGGAGTGGCTCTTGGTGTCGATGCCGACCTCCTCCACCTCCTCAGAGATACGCAGAAGGCCAGTGAGCTTCAGGACCAGGAAGGCCAGGGTTGAAAGCGAGCCGGACCAGAGAATGACCATGGCAATGAGGGCAAACTGAGCGCCAATGGCATCGCCAAAGAGACCGGTTTTGCAGGCAGCGCCGTCCATCACGCAGCCCCATCCTTGCAGAAACAATCTACAAATTTCCCACATTCACATGCCACACTTTCTCCCCTGTCCTGACCAGCCGTGGTAATGGTCCACGCCCTTGCCCCAGTCGAGGAACCCTGCTGCTAGCACACCCCAGATGCCGCAGAAGCCGTGCACCGGGCTGGCATCCACCGGATCGTCAATCTTCAGCTTTTGCAGAAGCATGGATGAAGCCTGATACACAAATGCGCCAACCAGGCCGATTGCAAAGGCACTGCCGCACTCCACGTTGCCGCAACCGGCCGTGATGGACACCAAGCCAGCTAGGATGCCGTTGCAGAGGCCGCCCACATCATACTTCCTCGTAATGGCATACCGGAGGATGAAGACCGTGATGCCACCGGTGGCAGCGGCCAGCGTGGTGTTCATTGCCACCTGCGCGGCCAGGGCACCCGTCGCGCCATCGTGCATGCCCAGCGTGGACCCCGGATTGAAGCCGTACCAGCCAAACCACAATGCGAAGGTGCCAAGCACGACCTGGGCTTCCACACGCAGAGTCTTCTCAGAAAACCTACTTTTCAGGCAACGTCCTTGGATTAGGAACAAAACCGCCGAGGTACCAAAGGCAGATTATGGCACTCAAATTCCTCCGGGTTCTCGAAACGGCCCTTGCGTGGGCCCAGCACCACCGTGCCGGCCAGGGCGCTCACGCCGCCGGTCAGGTGCACCACACCGCTGCCTGCAAAGTCCATGTAGCCTACAGAGGTGACAGTTGCCAGGAATCCGCCGCCCCAGGACCATGCCACGATTATCGGGTAGATGAAACTGGCCATGAAGAAGGCGTACACGGCATAGGTGGGGCTCTTCACGCGCTCGGCCACGCCACCGCTCACGATGGTCGCTCCCGCCGTGCAAAATGCCCATTGGAAGAACCAGCTCAGCATCGTGCTTTGGCATCCATCCGCATTACATGATGCCAGAGGTGAGATGACGCCGGTGGTGGCATCCATCGTGTAGAAGCCGATGCCAAAGAATCCATCAGTCCCAATGAAGCCATTTTTGGGAGTTCCTTGACTGCCATAGGCGAAGGCCCATCCGAAGACCCACCACCCAAGCGTCCCAACGCAGACGTTCCTGAGCCAGAGCTCTTTCACAAGGCATTTTACTGCGAAAAAAAAGACTCACTTTGACCACGCGCACGTGGGATGTGCATAAAAAAAACCAATAGGGACCAAAACACGAATAGGGATCCAAAAAAAACAAATAAGGATCAAAAAACCAAAATCTGAAAATATAGAGAAATCAAAGGACAACCGGCCACCCTAGCCAGCGCACGGGAGGATAAAAAAAAAATCCTAGTACACAGAAATCAACCGGAAATTGCTCCCCCAGAGAAAGCAAGCCAGGAAGACCATGTTGCTGTAGGTGGCGCTTGAGTTGTTCCACCTCCGTAGGCTTTGCCCTGTATTCTTGCATCAGGACAACATGAGGCCGCTCCTGGAACACAAACTGAGAAAACTCATAAGCGTTCCCTGTACCACCTACATTCAGGCACCAAAGCCGCAGGCTACGCGCACTCAAAGATGGTCCAGGCTGGGACTCGATATCCCCGTCATTGAGGAGGTCCTGCTTGACTTGATCAAGAACTTGCTTACGCTTACGTGCACACCCTTGATCAGCTCTGCAATTGCGATGACCATACCTGCCAGTCAAAGTGAGAAATGCATCACGCGCCACATCGGGATGCTCACCCCGGATGTGTCCCTGCCTGACATACTCTAAGGTCTGCTTGGTGCTTGCTGACACCTTGACGCCACACACGTTGCACGGCCACAACAGCTTCTCCCCCCGTCGGTGAAAGGAGGGCTTATGGACAAAGTGCTCCGGATGATGGTCCTTACGATGCTTGTACATCCTCCGAGACAGAATTTGGCAGTAGGAGCCTTAAAGTGCACCCCACAGACCGTACATGTAGCCTCCGGTTCATGAAATTCGTCCACTTGAGCCGCGACTCTGTCCACGTCCTTGGGAGACGAGGCATTGCGCCGAAGCATCGGAACACGATCCAAGCCGATGGCCTTGCTTTTGCCCTTTTTTGTGTAGGCACTGCGCTTCCCTCCTTGCGTATGACGGACCTCAGTCGGTCCTCCCTCCTTGCGAAGCTGGTCGGCTGACATGGCAATCATGCGACTTTCAGCAGCGCTGATGCCAAGGCAACGCTTGACATGCTTTTGATCGCTCTCGGTGAGGCGACTCCACGACCCCTTGAACGATTTTCCTCGCAGCCAAGATTTACGCGCTGCCTTGCCTTCACAAGGCTCCAGAATGCCTGCACAAACATCAAGCACCAGGAAAGCCAGTCGTCCCCAAATGCGGCCGCAGCTCTTGCATCCCCACATAGGTTTGGATTGTTTGGGGATACACGTAAACTCATGGCCCTTGCAAGGATTCTCCAGCAACCATTTGTAAGCCCTGTACGCTGCTCCTACCCCACTGACCCGCTGTCGCAGATTTCCAAAGCCAACTTTGAGTTCAGGCACTGAGCTCGCTCCGATCCCATGTTCTTGCAGCCATGTGACCATAGTAGGCAAAGAAACACGACAGTGAGTGGACGCCAATGCACGAAGGATGTCCTGGACCTGGGCTCCTTCAAATTGCCTCAAGTGGAAGACTTTCTGTCTCTCCGGGGCAGCCGCCGACTCCTGAGTATCCCCCTGAACAAGGTCAACATCACCTCCATTGTCGGAAGCATAGTCACCGAGTGCTCCACCATCTTCAGCAATTTGCGTCCCATTCCTGCTCGAGGCAAAATCGCTTATGGCACCCACCCCTCCACGCAATCTCTTACCCCCGCATTGAGCAGGGTCCACCTGTGACGGCGTGATTTTCAAGCTCACGCTTGCGCTGACGCCAAGCCTCTTGCAGTTCCAGCTTGCCTCCCCAAATCCCAGGTTTGGCAAGTTCACCCAGGCACCATTCGAAGTGCTTGGAAGTCTTCGCGCCCTTGTGGTCAGTGCCGTCCCAACGTTTGCTGTATGTTTTGAAATCATCCTTCATGTTGGCACACAGCCATGCTCGCAACTGACGATGCGTGTGGTGCTTTCCTCCAGACTTGGTCAAAAAGGCTGCAAGCGCATGAAACAAACAGTTCCCATCTGCGGCATTCTGGATGACCTTGCCGCCCGTATCCCACCCGTCCATGCTCACGTCCTTGCCTGGCGGGGGTGACCTGGATCTCTCCTTCCGCTGTCCACCCGAGCCACTCTCCGCTGCAGCCGTAGCGGCCTGGTCCTGCTTTCGCTCAACCTCCTTGGTCGCTGCATTGTCGCATTTGTTGCCATCGTCCGGCTTGTTTGCTGCCGCCGCGCCTCCGGCCTTAGGTCCGTTCGAACTGGCCTTCAGCTTCATTGCTTCTCCGAAACACAAGCGATGCGCATTCAGAGGAACACGTTGACTCTTGTCGACCCTGCGCGTTACAGCTTTGGTGATGGACACATCGAACTCCTCGTCATCGTCCACCACTTTGCCCTGCACAACTTCCTGACGGTCTTTTTTTGTTGGCGCACACAGTCCAGGAGTTACCATGCCGTCTCCAGCCCTTTTCGTTGACCTCCACATCCACAAAGCCGAGCGAAGTCAGACTAGGAAGACCCTCGACTACCCATTTGACCGGACCACCATGGTGTTGATGTTCCGCCAATGGAACACGATATCCCAGCTGGTATCTGCCACGCACCAGGCCTTTCGTGCCAGCGATACCTTTGCAGCGGTCAATGTATTGAATCCATGTTTCGTTCCCATCATCCCTGCATGGGACCCATTTAAAAACTTGGTACACTTCTCGATTTGTAGAAACACAACAAGAAGCGAGGAAGCAAGGAAGGAAGGAAGGAAGGAAGGAAGCAAGGAAGGAAGGCAGGAAGCAAGGAAGGAAGAAGAGCAAGTAAGAAAGACAGAAAAGCAGGAAGGACGGAAAGGCAGGAAGGAAGACAGGAAGGAAGGAAGACAGGAAGGAGGGAAGGATTGTTCATCGATTTTCATTGATTTTCACATTTTTCATCTGTTTTCATCACGCTCAGCATCATTTGCGTGATATAGCATGACTTTTGTAAACAGATTTCGTTCTCGTCATTTGCCAGGGTTGCTTCTCATTTTCGTAATTTTCCCTGATTTCGCATAATCTTCATATTTTCTTGGTCATTGTGCGCAATTTCCTCATGATTTTTCATCACAGCAAGTGTCGTAGTATTCAATCTTTTTTTGAGCAGTTTCCGCGAGTTTGCATGATTTTCTTTCATCATTTGTATCAGTTTACATCAGCTGCCACATTTTTCAGCACCTTTGATCACATTTCTGATTTCGTTTTGGTTGCAAAAGGGGGGGGGGGCTGCGCCGCCCCCCCAACCCGCCCGCTGTTTTTAAAGGGAACCCATGCTGGCCATAGCTCATCGTTTGACATCATATCATAATTTTGCTGATTTTTCACAATTCTCATGTTTTCTTGGTCATTGTGCGCGTTTTTTCTTCATTTTCATCACAGCATGTGTCGTAGTATTCAATCTTTTTTGAGCAGTTTCCATGATTTTGCATTATTTTCTTTCATCATTTGTATCCTTGGGGCTTTCGCAATTGTACAGCTTTTTTTGTTGATCCTCGGCCTTGAACCCGCGAGCCCCAATCCTTGAAGCTTTCGCCATTTTTCAGGATGTTGGTTTTTGTTGATCCTTATGTTGTCGTTTTATTGATCCCGGTTTTGTTGGTTTTTCGTTGATACTTATTTGTTTTTTCTTATCCCTCACCCCGCGTATGTTGCACCTGAGTTTTGGGGGCGAAGCTAGATTTAGCTTAGGATCACCAAGTTCTTCATCAAGACGTTGGAGGCATTCTTCACGCGGCAACTGCCCGTCTCCAGCATGGCGAAGCCAGCATGCATGAACATCACCAAGGCACCGCACAAGCACAGCCAAGCGGAGTCCAGGGCACCACCAAGGCTGTAGTCCGCGTTCTGTAGCGCGGTCACCTCAACAAAACTCATCCTCTACATCCCTGACAAAGCAAAAAATGTTCAACCATACTGAAGCTCTCCTCCCTGCCCTTCGCCTGAGCGGTCAGCTCCGCTTGGGTCACCCAGCCCGTCTGCAGCCGCCGCTCGGCTTTCAACTCGGCCAACATCTGCTTCTGCTCCTATCCAGACAGGCTCTGGGGTCCCACATGGTTCTGAATCATGACATCTTGAACCCCAGGAAGGAAAACTGCACTACCACAGCTATGACTAGCAACGATCAATGGTTCACAGCCACTGGTGCTGTCAGAGGTTTTCGTCGTTTGTCTTGCTGCGCATTTTACGTTGTGTGCGGCTCTTTCAAAGTTGCTTCGCATGAGTGACATTGGCATGGAACACTTCCTGCTGATGACGGCTCCAGAAACGCAAAGCATGCCAATTCTAGTGCCCGCAGCCTCATAGAGCTCGCGCTGTGCAAGAACCTGGGCCTTCAAAGCCTCCACTTCCTGCCGAAGGTCATCAGCAACTACGGCCACGGCCTGTGGTCAAGGCATTGAGCTGTTGATATTCTGGCACGGATCTGGCACATTTCCTCTCTGAGGTCTCGGCTCCTAGAAGGCACGCGAGGAGGAACCGCATCTTCGCCTCAACAAAATTGGTCTGGCACACAGCCCTGGATAGCAGAGGCCCAACCGAGGCACGGACAGGAATCTCTCAAAGGTCAAGACTGTAGGGACATCAAAGGGCTTGAGCACCAGAACTGCACCCTCTGGAGGCCATACCACAAAAAGCCCAAGTTTGACAAGAAGGCCTTGCAACCTCAAGCCCGGCAGCACCCTGTACCTTTGTGGCATATTCGAGACATGTTAAATGCAAAATGATGGCTTGCACATTCACACATTTGCAGGTACCTTACAATGATTACTGGTCTTCTGCCTTGCAATCACTGCGGCAGCATCGTGCTGCGCATGGATCCACAAATCCCCCGTGCGGCATCCTTTTGGCGCTGCTGCGCTCAGCCGGTGTCATCGCAGGCTTCACCTGCGGATGTCAAGGAGGCCTGAAGACAGCTAGCTTGCTGCCCAGCAGGGCCCGCACAGTAGTAGAGCAAGGGCACTGGGAAAAGCTGCTGTCCTAGGACGAAAAGAACAGGCCAAGTTTTGGCACTGTGCTGGAGAGCTCCACTCCCCCCAAAGCAATGCTGCACACACTACCGGCTGAATGCCGGCTACGGCATGGGCGGCATGGTCTACTCCTCAGATGTCTGACTTATCAGCCTGAGCAGGCGGACTAGCTGGCGCCCCGATGGCATAGGCCTTGGGCGGCGAGTGCTGCTTCACGTCCATGCCGACTTCCTCCGTGTACTCATCGATGCGCAGCAGCCCTGTTTTCTTCAAAACGAAGAAAGCCAGACCTGACAGGCTTCCAGCCCAGACGATCACCATCAGCACCAGGATGAACTGAGCTCCGATCGCAGTGCCGCCGATTCCTGTCTGGCATGTGGAATCTGTCTCGCTGACCGGCATGCAACCAAAGCCACTCCAGCCGTGGTAATGGTCAAAGCCCTTGCCCCAATCAAAGAGTCCAGCTGCCAGGACACCCCAAATGCCGCAGA